CCCTCGCGGGGTGGAGACCTAGAAGCCATGCGCTTCTTTGAGTGCTGGGCTTCAGCGGCTGCGGCTTTAGCAGCCTGAGCACGTTGAAGGCCCTCGGCAAGCGAGAGGTTCTTCGGAGGTTTCCCTCCCTCGTCGCCGCCAGCATTGGCCGAGCCCTTCGCCTTGTCGGCAGGGATCTCAGAGCGCGCAGGCGTCTTTGACCCATGCTCAACGTGATCACTAGCGAACGAGTGTAGGCTGTCAACCCTGCGCTCGCTTGGCACTGGAGTGTGCCATTCCACGGAGCTCCCAGACACACTGTGGAAGCTCCGGGCCTTGGCCTCGTCCTCAGAACCAGGACTACGCTCACGGCACGCGAACCGTGGGTTCCGACGGTCGTCTTGGGACATTGACGCGACCGACGGCGGCGTGAGTTTCGCCGCTTGCTCGCAGCCGAGTCACCCGAGGCATCAACCGCCTCGGATGCTACCTTAGTAGCCCCCTTGAGTGCCGAGCTCTTGCTATGACGCTTAGAGCTCTTGGCGTGCGCCTTTCGGGCAACATCCTTGGCGGGTGCATTCGCACCGCCCTTCGCAGTATTGCAAGCCATGAGGAAGATCGAAGTGGAGACCGAGAAGAGGAGCGCTATCGCTCAAAGGCTCCAACTGTGGAATGAGCCACAGCCGCGTCCCCGCGGCTCGTCGACCCCTTTCGACTCGGAAAATGAGAGTTTGTGACTCTATCTCCCGTTTGTGATTGGTCGGTAAACGGCTGACGAGAGTGATGCTGGGCGCGCTTCTAGCCTCGCAAAGGAAACCATTTGCATCAGCACTGACACGAGCTCCGAGGAATCCGTTAATGCTGCGGTCCGCCCACCGACAGCACAACGTATAACGGGTAACAGTGTCGGATCAACTACTGGTGGTAGTGCACCAGGAAAAGCAAGAACGCGGGGAAACCCAAGAAAGGTAAGCCATTAACCCTCAAGTCGAAACCACAGAAAAAAACGCAAGAGTCTGGATGACTCAATTTGCGAGCGCACCAGCATATCGAAGAAACGCTCGCGTATTGAGATAGCCCATGCAAAGATTAAGTTCACCAAGGACCTGCTGGAGTTGGGAATACTCAACGGAAGAAGTGAAGGAGATGGTTGCAGCACAATTCGAAGACAATTGATGTCCGATTCAGTTTCGTCCTACATACTAGACAAGTGATCTAGTAAGCTCTGCATTACCCGTAGGCGTTTGAGTCTCCCTTGCGTGTCCGCCAATCTAATAAACGCGTTATCAAAGTTTCCATCGTCGACTAAATCGGGCAGCTCCATCGCTACTGGGATCCACGCGTTGGGATTTTCGTCATCAGAATCACCTACCCCAGGAACATCCAGGAGTATGTTATGGAGGACAGCACAAGCACGAATCCAAGCCACACCTCGCTCTCCATCATGCTCATTGCGATGCCTCAGCCTCAGCCCTTTCAAACTGAAAAAATCTTCCCTTCAAAATTCCAATACAGTGCTAAAAGGTACTGGTCGCCCTCAAATATCTCAGGTGTGCATGTCTGTAGGTCGCAGTTAGCCATTAATCTTGCATTATGTGAACAAGCAGCCCATCCTGTGTAGAGATACCTAATTCTTTTGTGATCATCACAAACCACGAGCGCTGCTATTCCATAGCAGCCTTTGCGGCTGTAATAGTCTGCACCATCAAGTTCTAGTTTTCCTGCGAAAGGAACAGAGTTCCATCGACAAAGCCGATACACTGTCGAAATCCCGAGATCTCCTCGATTCGAGCGCTAATTTCCTCGCGTTCCTAATTATCTGGCCATGCAACTACCTGCTGTTCAAGCGCCACCAGCGCGACTATACAGCGATCGGTGAACAGCTCGACTACACCTTCAGACCGAAAATGGTGTGCTAACTTTCCAATCGATGCACCATTGCCATCACACCCAAATCGGTACAGCGCAACCATGAGCTGTCACCAAGCTGGCGTCTGAGGAACGTTCGAGTTGTTAAAAAACACTGGGTTGTCTTTAATCAAATCAACGATCTGCGTAAATTGAAACCTCGTGACGCGGAAATCTTGGGTGAATCGTCGCTCGTCAAGCTGGTTGAGCCAAAAGTCCAATGTGTCCGGGGCACGTGGCACAGGATCTCGCTTGTTTAAGTAACGGGATTTACTTATCATCCAGTATGCTTCTATGAACTGCATCAGCGTGTCATTATCGGGTTCCAGTACTTCTAGTGAAAACATCGTCATCATCGAAAAGGCCAAATAAAAACTCAATACTTTCACCAACTACCACAGATCGAATCCCACGCCTAAGCGCCCGCAATGCGCGCTGTCGTATCAAAATTGCCACTGCCGTTATAGACTTACTGCTGTGTGTCTGAGTCTTCGAGCTTAGCAATTTCAGCTGTTATGCTAGCTCTGCTGCTAGCTGACTGCTCCACAACTTTAGGTACAGGAGTCCTTGCCCTCTTAAATCCCTTGCTCTCGACCACCGGAAGGAAAGTGCAGCTGCACTTCCTCTTATCGTTGCTGCTGGTGCAGTGCATGATCCTCGCGGTGACGTTGCAGCCGTGGTCCTACCTGAAGCTGCCACTACAGTATCTTGGCGGCGGCGACACTGCTGCTGCTACAATACTTGATCCTCTTGGTGGTGACGGAGCTGCTGCAGTAGGTGGCGACGCTGTCACTGCAGTACTTGATCCTCGCGGTGGTGCTGCCACGAGGTTACTTTGC